GGTCCTGAGACAGAGGACGTTAGGGGAAAACCAGGGAAACCCGAATCAAGCGTGGAGTATAATTCACAGTAATGTACCCACAATGGTTTCTGAGCTGTGATCAATGGACCACAGTAACATAAGGGATTTTCCAGGCAAGGATACTGGAGTGGGTTGCCATTTCCTTCTCCAGGGGATCTTCCCGACCCAGGGATTGAACCCAGGTCTCCTGCATTGCGGGGAGACACTTTACTGTCTGGGCCACTAAGGAAGCCCCAACATAAGGGATTAACACTGGGGTAAACTGCGCAAAGCGTAGACAGGAACTCTGTACCATCTTTACAGCTTTCCCGTAAACCTACATCTCTTCTAAAGCAAAAGGCTTAATTTAAAAGTAGCAAGAGGGACTTCTCTGGCAGTCCAGTGGTTAAGACTCCATGCTTCCACGGCATGGGGACACAGGTTCCATCCCTGGTTGGGGAACTAAGATCCCTCATACTGCAAGATGCAGCCAAAAAAAAATTTTTAATTTAAAAAAAAAAAAAGGAGCAAGAGAATCTACAAGCTTTGAAAGCACTAAAAATCTTCATTTTTAAAAAAGTTCCAACTGCCCAGTAGAAGGTAAACGAACAGTGAGTACTTAGGTGCTGACCCATCACAGGATGTGAGACTTATAGAGAATTCATGGCGAAAACACCAGAAGCAACACTTTCAGAAAATGGACACAGAGAAAGTTTTCTGGTTGCAGCATCCAACCTTCATCATGATCTTGCCTTTACACAAAAGGAGAAAAACTCCACAACAACAACCGAAAAACCCAAGAGGCTTGGAAGTCCTGCTAAAAGGAAAGCAACTAGGGATAAAGTAACAGCAAAACACTGGACTATTGGTCATTGAGAAGATTATAACATACAAATCAGGGTTGAGCCAACAGTGAATCATGATTAAGGAGTTCTGAAATCAATTCAGCAGTGGCAGCCGGTGTTTTTTCAATGAAAGAGAATGAAACGAGTTCTGTGGGCTGACAGCTGCACGACCATGTGAATGTACTCAACACCACAGAACCGTACACTCAAACTGGCTGAAGCGGTAGGCGTTAACGTATTTGCCACAATTTTTAAAAATGGAAAAGAAAATAGAGTCCACCACAGGGAGCACAGGTTAAGGGCCACTTCACAAATAAATGAGCAGGAGGACACAGTCATACACCCCCATTAACTGCCTGTGGGTAACAAACGCTCACAGTGTAAAAGGTCTCTCACCGAGTTGCTGTCCGTAAGTCTGACAGCCACTGGACTCAATGCCCCCTACATCCTCACTCCAATCATCCACGTCAGAAGAGGAAGAAGGGCAAAATCTACTCCGTATCTTTAAGTGTGGTGCGAAACTGGTGAGAAGAAGCTAGTTCTTATTAATAAGAAAGAAGTATCTGCGAAAGCAGAAGACCAGCGCCAAGGTACAAAGGACAAGGCCCCTGAAGACGCAGCCTGGCCTCCCTAGCCCACACCCTAGCTCACACTCACTCCTAGCTCACAGCAGCTCACACTCACTCCTAGCTCACACTCACTCCTAGCCCACACCCTAGCTCACAGCAGCTCACACCCGCTCCCAGCTCACAGCAGCTCACACTCGCTCCTAGCCCACACCCTAGCTCACAGCAGCTCACACCCGCTCCCAGCTCACAGCAGCTCACACCCGCTCCCAGCTCACAGCAGCTCACACTCACTCCCTAGATCACACTGCCTCCTGTCTCATCAAGTCTGAGATTCCTAGGAGGCAACCAAGCAGAGTTCCCAGCTGCCCTCTGCCAGACCTTTCCCATCACATCATCGCCGCTCCAGGCTTCTCTTCATCTCCACAACTGAACCAACCAAAGTTCCCTGCAGAACTTTCCACGTCCTCCGTCCCCACCGCTGCCAACCAAGCTGGAACCACCGTCAGCACTCAGCTAGTCTTGCTCCCAGACACTCGAACAGGATTGTGACAAACTTCCAGCTTTGACCCATATATTTAAGTAATCTCAAACACGTAAAATGCTATATATACCGTGAATCTAAATGTTTGCAAAAAATGTAATTTCTGACATACTGTAAATACTGGCAATTTTAATCAGACTCAGACTTTTAAAATTACATTCAAAGGAATCTAAATAACACTGCACTAACTTTCATCATCATCCATTTTTTTAAATATACAGATGGACTTTCCTGTATTGCTGGATATTCTCTCAAAAGGATTTTAACCTAAAATAGCTTTATCTTCAAACCCTCTTTCAACAAAACTATGAGCTCAAATTGAGATTTCAGGATTTTTTAAAAATCTTATGACCACAGGATCTAAGTGTTCATTTTTTCTTCTGAATTATCATTATAATTTTATTAGCACACAACTGATCAAACCGAGAAATTTTACAAATTTTCATAGGTAATTGAACATTATTTTATTGAAACTGCATCCTTTAATGAGCTGAATAAACTGTCTTTTCCCTCGTAATTGATTTATGTGAATATTACTGTTAGAATGAGACAAGTTTAATTAGCACCAATTTGTTATTTTCCTTGTCCTTTTTTTTAATGTAAGCACTAAGAATGTTTATTCACATAGATGTGAATGTAAGAACCTTTGTTACAGCACTGTCCCTACATGCTCTAAACTCCCTCAGCATTTTTGCCAAAAGTCTATCATTAAAAGGAACTTTTAGGAGAAAATATTTGCAAACAAAGCACCTGAAAAGGAATTAATCTCCAAAATATACAAACAGCTCATGCAGCTCAATATCAAAAAAACAAAAACCCCAATCAAAATATGGGTGAAAGATCTAAACAGACATTTCTCCAAAGAATACATACAGATGGCCAAAGAACACTTGAAAATATGCTCAATATCACTAATTATTAGAGAAATGCAAATCAAAGTTACAATGAGGTATCACCTCATACCAGTCAGAATGGCCTTCATCAAAAAAATCTACAAACAATAAATGCTGGAGAGGGTGTGGAGAAAAGGAAACTCTTACACTGTTGGTCGGAATGTAAATTGGTACAGCTGTTGTGGAGAACAGTAACAGTTTTAGTTTTTAAAAACTAACAATAAAACTACCATATGACCCAGCAATCCCACTCCTGGGCATTTACCCAGAGAAAACCATAATTCAGAAAGATACATGCACCCCAATAGCCACTGCAGTGCTATTTACGACAGAAGAATGGATGAAGATGTGGTATACACACATACCATGGAATGTTACTCAGCCACAAAAAGGAACGAAACTGTGTAATCTGCAGACAGGTGGATGGACACAGAGACTGTCATACAGAGCAAAGGAGTCACAGAGAGAAAAACATTGTACAGTATCGTTAATGTGGAAGCTAGAAAATTGATACAGACGAGCTTCTTCGCAAAGCAGACACAGAGACACAGACATACAGATCGTATGGATACCAGGCAAAGAAGGGGGAGTAAGGAAGAACTGAGAGACTGGGACTGACATACATATACTGCTGTGTATACAATCCGGAGGAGGACAGGGCAACCGTCTGCAGTGTTCCTGCCTAGGGAACCGCGCGGACAGAGGAGCCCAGCGGGCTGCAGTCCGCAGCGCAGCAGAGTCGGATTCGCTGGAAATGACTTAGCACACATGCGTGCATGTATAAACCCGGTAACTAATGAGGCCCAAACACCCAGCACAGGGAACGCTATTCAATGCTCCATGGTGACCTACACGGGAAGGACATCCAAAAAAGTGGGCATATATGTGCATGCCTAGCTGATCCACTTTGCTATACAGAACACGGTGCAGTAATGTTCTCTACAGCGTTCTAACATAACATCATAAAGCAACTAGACTCCAGTAAAAAGCAATAAAAAGAGAAAGAACTTTTGATAGTCTAAACAGCTGCCAATTTGATTGGGCCCTCCTTCAATTTTATAGAAAGTGAAGACGCGAAAACCACTAATTACAAATGACTCTGTCATCCAGAGTTCAGTCATTTTCTCCGAACCAGTAACAGTATTTTAAACTGTCCCTTTGCCCACAGTGAAGCACAGAGCAAGATAAAGCCCTGGTAAAAGACATGCCTTTCTCTGGCAAAGCGGAGAAGTGAGACTGTGAGAAGAGAGGTGGAAAATGCTAAGTTGCGATCTCAGATCAGTTTCAGGACAGGACATGGATGCTGGGAATCCAGAAGCTGATTCTCTGAAACGCACGCCCTTGCCCGGCACCACATAAAGAGTACTGAGGTCCTTCCAAGGCACGGGACATCCCAGTTTGACAACAGTGAACCAAGCGAGCCCTGGGACCAAGGCATTCTCTTCAAAATCGTAGTTTACATCTTCGATTTGCTGGCCACTTTTAACCACTCACCTCACACTTGAAAAAATAAAGCTGCATCTCGTCACTGTGTCTGCTCTCAGGTGGCACCTCACCCTTGACCCTACAGAACCACACTGGCCGTCTCCAGGCCCCTGCACTGGCAGCAGTGCCCCGCCGCACGGCCCTGGCACCCTCCCTTCCTTCTGCCCACCACGTGGCTGCCCCCACGCATTCCCACACTTCAGCTCCAGCGTCACCTCCGACCACCTGTCCGCGTGACCCACCTCGCTCATCTCTCCCACAGCAGCTGAATTACTGATAGTTCTTATTATAAACATAACTATTTTGCTTTATTTACAGTAATGTCTGACTTCCCTACTGCACACAAGCAGGTCTCATTCAGTGTTATGTTCGGCTCGCAGCACCACGATGACCCACAGGTGTGTGCAGACAGAACAGAGGGTGAACAGGGCGGAGGGTGCAAGGACGGCACGGGAGAGTGAAGCTGGGGTGGGGGATGTCTCCAGAGCTTTCCGTGCAACTTCATTTAGAACAAAACCGTATTATTAGAGTCCAGATACCCCAAATGTCAGAAAGAAAGGCTTGTCACAGGTAATATTAAACACATAAACACATATTCCAAGACGTCAGAAAGCACCCAAAGTGGGCAGGGAGACTTAGCCCAGATTTGCCCCCATCCCTTCCTTACCTCTGTTCTTGAGACTGCTCCTCTGTATCGTCTTCAGAATCACCCTATTGAGAAAAAATATGCTTTAACAGTTGTTTCAGAGAAACACACCATCTCCCAAAAAACAAAAATAAAAACTTCTTCAAATCCCACAGGGGTGATGAACTTGTCTAAAACAGTGCCTGCCACCCAGCACACTCAATAAATACTTACTGAAAAAAAGACTGACACTAAAATGGCGCCACTGACAGCCAGACCCTACCAAGTGATCCCTTAGATGTGCACTACAAGTAAACATTCTATCTGTTTCAAACTGCCACCAACACGGTCTCAAAGCTGGCTGGACACCACTCTTCTCTCCAAGAGCCTTTTTCTGATGCTCAAGTTTAATCACACAAGACAAAGTTTAATGATAATTAAAATCCCCAAATATAAAAACTGTACTGAATAGCTCAGAATCCCCTATACGAACACCCAATATATGTTGACTTCAACATAAAAAAGCTGATTATACTATAAATGGCATAAATATTGCACTCCAATCCACTGCCAAAATCTCTGAGACCTACCATGCCACACTGTGCCCAGGAGACACACACCAAGAGTGTAAAAAGAGAAGGCACTCACAACAGAAGCAAAAGGGCAGATCCAGTTAAACGCTGCGTGGGCACATGCGGGCACTCAAGCTCTGGGTTTCTGTCCTCTCCCGAAGCTGCACCGCGGGCTGCTTCCTCCCCAGCCTTCCTCCCCCTCCTGCTCCGAGCCCCCACCCCCAGCCCACCGCTCTCCCCGGCTGCCCCGCCTCCAGTCATCCGTCCTCCTGAGCCCAGAACTCCAAGCACTAACGCCCTCCGACTGTTTCTGCTCCTGGAGCCACAGGGCACAAATCCCCAACTTCTCACTCAAGCACGTTCAGATCAGTGCCCACCTTCCTGTGAAAGCTGAGGCTCAAACAAGGTGGGTCAGAACTCACAGGACAGCAGGACCAGTTAACCAGTTGCAGTCCCACCACCAAACAGCTTTAGGGTCTACACACCATCTCCCTGGGAACAGCCACACCAGACTCTTGTCAGGGGTCCCTGCCAAGGGCCCACTTACATCCAAGGGGCCATCACACCCCCTGACCCCTGAGCAAACCTGTCACCCCCAAGCAGTGGATCAGTCCCCTCAGCAGACCTGTCCTTCTCCACCCCTTCTGCCAGCAAATGAGCCCAAGCCATCAGCGCCCAGGCCTACATGACCAATGCGACAGGCTTTCCCGGCTGTGGAAGGCTGCTGCCCTTCTGGGACGTGGAGAAAAGGAAACCCTCCTCTACTGCTGGTGGGACTGTATTAGGTGTGGCGTTACAGAGAATATTACAGAGGTTTCTGAAAAAACTAAAAACAGAACTACCATATACCCAGCAGTTCCACTCTTGAGTATATATCTAAGAAAAACAAAAACACTCATTCGAAAAGGATACATGCATCCCAATGTTCACAGCACCTCTATTCCCCAAAGCTAAGATATGGACACAGCCCAAATGCCCATCAACAGATGAACGGATAAAGATGTCACACACACACACACACGTACACGGATAAAGATGTCACACACACACACAGACAAAGATGTCACACACTCACACACACGCACACAGATAAAGATGTCACACTCACACACACACACACGCACACATGGAAAACTACTTAGCCATAAATAATGAAAATAAGACAGAAAGACAAATTCTGTATGATATCACTTGCATAAAAAAATGACAACTAGGGAATACAAAAAAAATGCACTGATTTAGAGAAGAAACTAGTGGTCAGCAGGGGAGAGGGACAAGACGAGGGGAGAAGAATCACTTCAATTTATCTAATACTGACATTAGTTATGCCTCAATAAAAATAAAGTTAAAGACTGCCACTGAGTCTGCATACAAAATCAGACAGGAGAAAAGATATCTATGTTAACACATACGTGGGATCTAAAACAATGGTGTAGGTGAACCAAATAAGCAGAGCAGGGACAGAGATGCAGACACAGAACACAGACATGTGGCCATGTGGCGGGGTGGGGAATCAGGAGATTAGGACTGACAAATACATACACTACCATGTGTAAATCCGATAGCTAGTGGGAAGCTGCTGTACACTCAGGAAGCTCGGCTTGGTGCTCTGAGATGACCGAGAGAGGTGGGAGGGTGGGAGGCTCAAGAGGGAAGGGCTGCATGAATACATATAGCTGATTCTTCACCACTGGAGACAAGGGTTCAATCCCTGGATCGAGAAGATCCCCTGGGATAGGAAATGGCAAGTGCTGCAGAGAGGCCTGGTGGACTACAGTCCATGGGGTTGCAGAGAGTCAGACATGACTGAGCAACTGAGGACGAAGACACACACACAGCTGATTCACTGCATGGTACAGCAGAAACTAACACAATCGTGTAAGGCAATTATACCCCAATAAAAAATAATAATAAAACTTTAACAAATAAAAAGACTGCTGCATTCAACCCATCTTGTGTGTCAGTCACTGTGAGGCCCATCTTCATCAACATCAGGCATCACTTACAGACCCAGCAGTCAAGGTCACCACGTTAATCTCTGCTCAAGAACCTGGCTCCAAGCTCCTGACTGGGAATTGAGCAACTGACACTTGACTCTGACACACTCACCCCAATCTCTACAGCCACACTTCAGCAGGGCTCTGGCTCCCATTCAAAACACTAGCATAAAACACGCCCTCTGTGACAGTGTTAATGCAGGCTCTAAGTGGACAACTGCAAAGAAACAGAGGAAAAAAACAGAACGGGAAAGACCAGGGATTTCAAGAAAATTAGAGATACCAAGGGAACATTTCATGTAAAGATAGGCACAATAAAGGACAGAAACAGCAGAAGAGATTAAGAGGTGATAAGAATACACAGAACTATACAAAAAAGGTCTTATGATCTAGATAATCAAAATGGTGTGGCCACTCACCTAGAGCCAGACATACCAGAGTATGAAGTCAAGTGGGCCTCAGGAAGCATTACTACAAAGTTAAAGTTAGTGAAGGTGATGGAGTTCCAGCCGAGTTATTTCAAATCCTAAAAGACGATGCTGTTAAAGTGTTGCACTCAATATGCCAGCAAATTTGGTAAACTCAGCAGTGACCACAGGACTGTAAAAAGTCAGTTTTCATTCCAATCCCAAAGAAAGTCAATGCCAAAGAATGCTCAAACTACCGCACAATTGCACTCATCTCACACGCTAGCAAAGTAATGCTCAAAATTCTCCAAGCCAGGCTTCAATAGTACATTGAACTTCCAGATGTCCAAGCTGGATTTAGAAAAGGCAGAGGAACCAGAGATCAAACTGCCAACATCCACTGGATCATCGAAAAAGCAACACAATTCTTGCTTTTTGTTAGTCTGTTTCTGCTTCATTGACTACGCCAAAGCCTCTGACTGTGTGGATCACAATAAACTGGAAAATTCTTAAAGAGATGGGAATCACCAGACCACCTGACCTGCCTCCTGAGAAAAGTGTATGCAGGTCAAGTAGCAACAGTTAGAACCAGACAAGGAACAGACTGGTTCCAAATTGGGAAAGGAGTACGTCAAGGCTGCATAGTATCACTCTGCTTATTTAACTTATATGCAGAGTACATCACGCAAAATGCTAGGCTGGATGAAGCATAAGTCAGAATGAAGATTGCTGGGAGAAATATCAATAACCTCAGATATGCAGATGATACCACCCTTATGGCACAAAGTGAAGAATTAAAAAACCTATTGATGAAAGTGAAAGAGGAGAGTGAAAAAGTTGGCTTAAAACCCAACATTCAGAAAATTAAGATCATGGCATCCAGTCCTATCACTTCATTGCAAATAGATGGGGAAACAATGGAAACAATGACAGACTTTATTTTGGGGGGCTCCAAAATCACTGCAGATGGTGACAGCAGCCATGAGATTAAAGGATGCTTGCTCCTTGGAAAAAAAGCTATGATCAACCTAGACAGCATATTAAAAAGCAGAGACATCACTATGCTAACAAAGGTCCATCTAGTCACAAAGCTATCGTTTTTCCAGGGGTCATGTATGGATGTGAGAGTTGGACTGTAAAGAAAGCTGAGCACAGAAGAATTGATGCTTTTGAACTGTGGTGTTGAAGAAGACTCTTAAGAGTCCCTTGGACTGCAAGGAGATCCAACCAGTCTATCCTAAAGGAAATCAGTCCTGAGTGTTCATTGGAAGGACTGATGTTAAAGTTGAAACTCCAGTACTTTAGCCACCTAATGCGAAGAACTGACTCACTAGAAAAGACCCTGATGCTGGGAAAGATTGAAGGCAGGAGGAGTAGGGGACAACAGAGGATGAGATGGTTGGATGGCTCACCGAGTCAATGGACATGAGTTTGAGTAAACTCTGGGAGCTGGACAGGGAGGCCTGGCGTGCTGCGGTCCATGGTGTCGCAAAGAGCATGACTGAGCAACTGAACTGCCACGCCCATCCCAAGCTCCCTAACTATCCCTTCCCCTCATCCTTCCCCCTGGCAACCATAAATTCATTCCCTAAGTCTGTGAATCCCTGTTTTGTAACTGAGTTAATTTTATCATTTCTTTTTAGATTCCACATATAAACGATATCATACGGTATTTCTTCTCTAACGTCACTCGATGGCAATTTCTAGGTCCGTCCATGTTGCTGCACATGGCATCATTTCACTCTTTTTAATGCTGAGTAACTGGACACCGCATACATGCAGCACATCGTCCTGATCCATTGCTCGGCTGAAGGACGCCGAGGCTGCGCCCAGGTCTTGGCTATTGTAAACAGAGCTCCAAGGAGCACTGGGGAGCACGTATCTTTTCAGATCATGTCTTTCTCTTGATACTTGCCCAGGAGTGGGACTGCAGAGTCATATGCCTACCCTGACCTCTTAAATTAAAACTGTGATTCCTCTTGTCCAAATCTTCCTCCAGTCTGCCACCACATTATCACTACAATTTTTTCTACTTCTCATCTCTCATCCATGTGCCTCCAGTAAACGGGCAGCTCAGTGAGGGCAGTGCTGTTCCTCCCTTGTTCCCCAT